CTCTTCCGGTCTTTCTGCGGTGGTGGGCTCTTTTCGTCAAAGCAAAGTCAGTCAGTGTGCGTACGCCATAGAGTAGGGGAGTTGCCAAGTGCGATCGGTCGAAGGATGACAGAAATTAAACCGTGGAATTGCCAGACGCATGATCCGGAGATGATCGTACCTTGTCTAGAGCCGACAAACCCTCTGAGACAACTCGAGCGGATGCGTCTTCGATGCTCGAGTTTGCGCGATATGGAGTGTTGGAGTACAGGCGGAGCCTAGTGCGACCTCCGAGCCTCTGGGCTAAACAGGAGATGCAGACATGTTCGCGGAAAGGGTCTGAAACAGACCGCAGGGAAGCCCGGAACATTCAGGTCAAAGGTTTCGGTGCAGCCTTCAGAGCAGTAAACACTAATATTCTGTCAATTGAGAGCAGCTGGTGGCAAAGTGTTGATGCTTGAAAGTTGAAAAGCCTGAACAGCTTCATTACATTTGCTCTTTTTTTATTTTTCTGCCGTACAGCTCCTCACCGCTCTGGAGGCGACGAGAAGCCCGGCGGTATGGACTTGGTTTTAAATGATATTGTATATACAGTACAGTACAATCATGACAGAAACATGTCATACGGTATGCACATGTATATATACATATACAGTACATCTAGGGTATGTATCGCATGGGGGCCCAATAAAAAGCGATTCGGTTCTTTTTTTTTCTTTCTTTTTGTTTGATACTTTTTTAAATCTGTTTATTCCTTAGCTCTATATCAATATAGTAAGTATCTGAGGATCAAGAGGTAGCTGCTGTTTACTTGGTGCCGAACTCTTATCGGGAATGCCCCATCTCTCCAGATCTCTTTTAGCCTCGTTCTTGACACTGATAACGAAACATTTAATATACACACAGATGTATATAACATGTATATGTATTCTTGTACGGAGAAAGAGTTATCTCTGAATCCAAATGTTAAAATCAAAAGAAAACGCAAATAATTAGAAGGATAAAAAGTAACAAGAAGAAAGATATACTAATCCACGATTAATAAAATACACTCACTCATCCAAATCCGGGGTCGGAGAAAAAGACGCCCCGCCATCCCGCCAGCAGAGGGAAAAAAAAAAAAAAAAAAAAAAGGTGCGGTGACTCTTAACCCCCCCGAGAAATCAAGATTTGGTTCTTCCCCAAAGCGATACACTTGCTATACATGCAGCTTGCTCTCAAGTTGACTCTCTAGTGAGGTGAGTATCGGCCCTGATACAATTGTGTGTTTGTTGAGGTTTCTTGGGTATTGAACATTGAGAATGATAGAGAGAGGGGCCCGTCTGGTATTTTATATACTATGACTTGCCCCTCCATTCTTTCCGCCTCAAAAAGCAATCCACCACATACATTATCTCCCTGCAATGCAATTTTCGTGTGGATAGGATATTCAACTCCTAATATTTCCCCAAATTAGGTTTACTCGAGAACACTGCACTCGAAATGTCCCAAGAACAGTTGCGCGTCCTCATCGTCGGTAACGGCGGCCGCGAACATGCCCTGGCTTGGAAGCTAAGCCAATCCCCTCGGGTCGAAATCGTTTATGTCGCCCCAGGTAATGGTGGAACTGGCCTGGCGGCTCCTAGCAAAATTACAAATGCCAACGTCAAGGGCAATGACTACCCTGGCCTAGTGGCTTTCGCTCAAAAGCACAGAGTCAATTTGGTGGTTCCGGGACCGGAGGCCCCTCTTGTGGATGGCATCCAAGGATATTTCCAAGCAGGTGGGGAGAGCCTCAACTACAAACAAGACAGATAAGATGTTGACATTTTCATAAAGTCGGTATTAGGTGCTTTGGTCCTTCCAAGGCCGCTGCGCGCATGGAGGGTTCCAAGACCTTCTCCAAGGATTTCATGAAGCGTCATAATATTCCCACGGCTGCGTATGAGAACTTCCGCGAGTATGAACCTGCCCGTCAATACCTTGACTCCATTTCCCACAATGTTGTCATCAAGGCAGATGGTCTGGCGGGTGGCAAAGGTGTTGTTATCCCGCAGACTAAGGAGGAGGCCCACCAAGCACTCCGCGAAATGATGTTGGACCGCCAGTTCGGTGATGCCGGTAACGAGGTTGTCATCGAAGAGTACCTCGAGGGTGATGAGCTCAGTGTCCTCACTTTCAGCGACGGCTACACTATCCGCTCCCTCCCTCCTGCACAGGATCACAAGCGTATCCTCGACGGTGACCAGGGTCCCAACACCGGCGGTATGGGCTGCTACGCTCCTACTCCAATCTCTTCTAAGGAAGTCCTTGAGGAGATCGACCGCACCATTGTGCAGCCTTCAGTTGACGGCATGAGGAGAGATGGTTTGTCCTTACATACTGGCCCTAAAATTATACCAATAGAGCGCTAACTACTTTCAAGGCTTTCCCTTCGTGGGTATCCTCTTCACCGGTCTTATGATGACGAAGAATGGCCCTAAGGTTCTCGAATATAATGTTAGAGGTGGAGACCCGGAGACTCAGACTCTCTTGCCCCTGCTCAGTGATGACACTGATCTGGCAGAGATCATGGTTGCTTGTACCGAACACTGGCTCGACGGTGTCTCAATCAACGTCAAACCCGACTTCTCCACCACCGTCATTGCCGTGGCGGGTGGATACCCTGGATCTTATGCTAAGGGCAAGGCCATCACCCTTGACCCGGTTCCGGAGGACACCTTGATCTTCCATGCTGGAACCACACTCGTTGGCAACGAACTCCAGACCTCTGGTGGTCGGGTCATTGCTTCCACCGCTACAGCATCTAGTCTCGAGGAGGCTGTCCGCAAGAGCTATTCTGGCATTTCCACAATTCACTTTGAAGATATGTTCTACCGTAAGGACATCGCGCACCGCGCCTTCAGGCAAAGAGACGCTGTTGCATCCCAGAAGGAGTCTCTCACCTATGCCTCTGCCGGTGTTTCCATTGATGCTGGTAATGACCTCGTCGACCAGATCAAGAGCTCTGTTGCCCAGACCAAGCGTCCTGGTACAGATGCGGTGATCGGTGGCTTCGGAGGTCTCTTTTCTCTTGCTGCTGCCAACTCTGCCTACCACGCCCACTCCCCTACATTGATTGGAGCCATCGATGGTGTTGGGACCAAGCTTAAGATCGCACACACCGTGGGGGTCCACGACACGGTGGGTATTGACCTTGTAGCCATGAACGTCAACGACCTTGTCGTCCAAGGAGCAGAGCCCCTATTCTTCCTCGACTGCTATTCTTGCGGTAAATTGGACGTCAACACAGCCTCCGCCTTCGTCACTGGTGTTGCCAATGGTTGTGTGCAGGCCGGATGTGCTCTCATTGGCGGTGAGACTGCTGAAATGCCTGGCCTCTTCATTGACGACACCTATGATGCTGTGGGTGCTGCCGTAGGTGCGATTAACACTACTGGAGACAATGCCCGTACTATTCTTCCAGAGACCTCCGCTATGCAAGATGGCGATGTTCTCCTTGCCTTGGCTTCCTCCGGTCCTCATTCGAACGGGTACTCTCTCGTCCGGAAGATTGTCGAACGCTCTGGATTAAACTACAACGACCCAGCTCCTTTCTCGATGCCTTCCAGCAACGAACCTCTTTCCCTCGGCCGTGCCCTCCTTACCCCGACCCGCATTTACGTGAAGCCTCTCCTGAAAGCGCTCTCCATCCCCTCCAGCAACAAGACTGCCGGCCACTTCTCGTCAGCCATTAAGGGTCTTGCCCACATCACTGGTGGCGGTCTGGTTGATAATGTGCCTCGTATGCTACCTTCGACGCTGACTGCGCATATCAACGTCTCTGCCTGGCAGCTTCCGCCGGTCTTCGCCTGGCTTAAGAAGAACGGTAATGTCAATGCCACTGAGATGGCGCGTGCGCTCAACTGCGGTGTGGGTATGATCATTGCTGTTGAGAAGGAGGCCGCGGCCGCAGTTAAGGATCTGCTGCAGAAGGAGGGAGAAACAGTCTACGAGGTTGGTGAGCTCAAGACCAAGAAGGAGGGAGAGGAAGGATGTATCCTCAAGGGATTGGAGACGTGGGACACTTAGATGCACTGTTGTATCTCCATTCAGTAATATGTGATGATTTACCCCATCGGTTTTTCTTTTCTTTTCTTTTTCCTGGTGTTTTTTTATCTTTATTCTGATTACTGCCCCGTGCGACGATGGATGAGCTCAAGACCAAAACAGATGAGAATATTAAAAGTGAACAGACTATGCATACGTCAGTCTATATAGATGTTAGACTAACTCGAAGACTTCTGTCCAATCACCAATGAGGCATTTAGCCCATCAAGAATATCAGACAAGTCAGTTATACATACAGCTTTCTTACTAAGGGGGCCCAGACTGGTCTGTAGATGGCAATGACATCATGTTTTGTACTACGATGGCTTGTGTTCTTGGGCCGCAAGCGACCTACCAGTGGTATATTGGTTCTTGGCCGGAGCGCGCTGTAGATGATACAGGGCTGTCTGCGAGGTCTACATAGGCCCTATGAAGCAAAACGCGACAATCGTGACAAGGCACAGTCAATTTGAAGTTAAGCCCGGCGTGAATCGGGCCAGAATAATCATGTTTCAACAGCATTTTAAAACCGTAGCCAGCCCGGAGGCGAGAATTCGTTAGAGAAAAGGGTCCAGTATGGAAATAAGGATTCAAACACGAGCGTAGAACTATATGAAATAGAGCTTTCACCCCACCATCCACATGACCCATGTACATCCTTCACCTACGTTTCTCTTCCCCTTCTTGCTCTCAGGAACAACTTACTGCCAGCGAAAGCGCCCGCATCGAGCGACAAGCGTCTCAAAGAAACCATCTCTATTCCACAGCTAAAACAAAGTTCCTTTTTCAGGCGATCTTCCTCCTAGTGCGAGTCAGAGAGGCCCGCATGTCGCCAGTCCCCGTTTGATATTTTAATACAGGAAAATACGACGAAAAAGACTAATCATGCGCAAGAGCTACAAAGGGGAGTCAATGAGGGTTGGATTCAAGGAAGCATCCAGGTGAACCATACCTTAGAAACACTTGCGGTGAACGATCGAAGGACCGCTCTCGTCGTACTCCTGCTTGGAGATCCACATCTGCTGGAAGGTGGACAGGGAAGCCAAGATGGAACCACCAATCCAGACGGAGTATTTACGCTCAGGAGGAGCAATGATCTTGACCTTCATAGACGAGGGGGCAAGCGCGGTGATTTCCTTCTGCATACGATCGGAGATACCAGGGTACATGGTAGTACCACCAGACTAAGTTATTGTTAGTGATGTGCTACACTCTGGAATGGACCCGAAACCAGGAGTAGAAAAACATACCATGACGATGTTACCGTAGAGATCCTTACGGACATCAACATCACACTTCATGATGGAATTGAAGGTGGTAACGTGAATACCACCGCTTTCCAGACCCAGAACGCTAGGCTGGAAGAGAGCCTCAGGAGCACGGAATCGCTCGTTACCAATAGTGATGACCTGGCCATCAGGAAGCTCGTAGGACTTCTCGAGGCTGGAGCTCTGAGAGGCGGTCTGAATCTCCTGCTCGAAGTCAAGGGCGACGTAGCAAAGCTTCTCCTTGATGTCACGGACAATTTCACGCTCGGCGGTGGTGGAGAAAGTGTAACCGCGCTCAGCCAGGATCTTCATGAGGTAGTCGGTCAAATCACGGCCAGCCATGTCAACACGGGAGATGGCGTGGGGGAGGGCGAAACCCTCGTAGATGGGGACAACGTGGGTGACACCGTCACCAGAGTCCAGAACGATACCGGTGGTACGACCGGAGGCATACAGGGACAGGACGGCCTGGATGGAGACGTAGAAGGCGGGGGCGTTGAAGGTCTCGAAGACGATCTGGGTCATCTTCTCACGGTTGGACTTGGGGTTAATAGGGGCTTCGGTCAAGAGAACCGGGTGCTCCTCAGGAGCAACACGGAGCTCGTTGTAGAATGTGTGATGCCAGATCTTCTCCATGTCATCCCAGTTTGTGACGACACCGTGCTCAATCGGATATCTGAGGGTGAGGATACCACGCTTGGACTGTGCCTCATCACCAACATAAGAGTCCTTCTGACCCATACCAATCATGATACTGATACATCGTCAGTGGCCATCGCTCTGGAGTAGCTATCTGGAGGGTCGGAGGATAATTACCCATGATGACGGGGACGACCGACAATGGAGGCTAAGATTCAAGTCAGTAAATCGAGTTCATCATGTGGGGCCACGCGTCACAGTTGATCCATCCAGACGGTGCTTATTTACTGCGAGGACACAGCAAATGGCTATACCTGAAGACTTGGAAAAGGACGACGAGTGCGGGAGGGGCATGTATTAGGCTAATGCGGGGGGTTGACTTACGGAAGACAGCACGGGGAGCATCGTCACCGGCGAAACCGGCCTTGCACATACCCGAACTAAGAGCAATTTCGTCAGTATAGGGGCCAAGTCACGTTTACGGATTGTAGAGAAAGAAAATCCATCTCGTCATTGCGATTCCAGGAAGCATAAGAGCTAGAAGCTGGGCCGCGAAAGTGATCTTCGATCGGTGCGACCGGTGCCGGCAGCTGGTGTTTTCTTGCTCGGGATGGGATGGAAAACACGGGGATTCCATCAACAAAACCATCAAAAACCAACAATAACATACCCATTGTCAATGACGAGAGCAGCAACTTCCTCTATACGAGTGACACAAGATGATATCAGTAACGGTCGGACAGAGTGACGGAAGGGGGATGGGAAGAGAACAGCAAGCGAACGAGCTAGACGCAAGGCGCTGAGGTGGCAGAAACCTTACCTTCCATGATGACTGAATGGGATTACTACGAGGGGGAAAGAAAAAAAAAGGAAACGAGAAGGGAAAAAAAAACTATTAAAAAAGGTGGGAAACTAGGGACGAGAAAGAGGAGAGGATAAGGTGGTGATGAAGGTCAAGTTGAGTGAGTGAGTGAGAGAGGGAGAGAGGTAGCAAGTGTGGTGGAAGTAAGTTGGTTGAGGTGTGGGTGGAGGAGGAGACGGAGCAGAATTACTGGTCGAGCGTATTTAGTAAGAAAAGCAGGTAGTCGCAGAAAAGGGAAGGGGGAGGGGAGGAGAATGAGGAAAAGGAGAGGTTGGCGGTAAATTTAGGTATTAGGGGGGTAAAGGGAAGTGAGTGGCCTTAGAGAGCATGCTAGGTGAGCGTATGTGGGTAAGCCTAAATTGGACTATACGGGACCACGCTGTTCTATGATCAGGCGGCAAATAGGGGTTTTTTCGTGGTGCCGTTGGGCCCAACTGCTGTCACCGCCACACTGTATCAGTAATGGACCGTAACAGATTTCCGGTACGAACAAGAGCGAGAGAATTGGAACAGTTGCAATCCACTTCCGGACTGATTTTATAAATTCTTCTTTTAAAACAAAAGAAGAAATAGAAGGAAAATGTATGCTGGTAGGGACTGTATATAATCCTTCCATTCCTTCCTCTATCACCATTCCACAACAGTTTCGTCCCCGAACTCCATCTATCGTAACCTTCAAGGTAAGAACGGTTCGGGAAGGATACCAGCTGAGGTGTCCTTTTTCCCTTAAAGCACTGCTGGATGGCAAAACCACTTGCGCATCCTCGTGGGGCAGATCCTGTGGCTGTTTACGAATGGTTCAGCCCATAGCGTCCCGGCGACCAGGGTCACAAAAGTAATCAGGGTCGGTTATCACCATAAGCTCTAGACATGATGACGATGTCAATTCCAGGCTTCCAGATTCTTTACGAGCACAATCCCTTTGAACCTTTGCCCCTCTTTTTTTTTTTTTTTTTTTTTTAACTGGAATCCCCCTTTTTTTTTTTTTTCTTTTTTTTTTTTTTTTTTTTTTTTTTTTTTTTTTTTTTTTTTTTTTTCCTTTGCCCCTTTTTTTTTTTTTTTTTTTTTTTTTTTTTTTTTTTTTAATTTAAACGTTCTTCTTGCGAATCACCTTTGTCTAGGGTCTAGAAGATTGTGGGGGTCTCTGAATGTCAGACTTATTGCTGATCTTTAATAAGTCTCTAAGGGAGATAATTCAAGCCCATCGAAGGTTTGATAGATGACGATACCAATAGCAGTCATATCCATACATTATCTTCCATTGCATGTGTGCGTACATACATAGTACCTACTATGCTGTAATTCCTGCCTTACCGCCTTTTCATCCATTCAGAGGAGATTCTCATGAGCACCAATACCAGTGCCCAATTCCCGGGAGAAGTCGGTCGATCACTGTTGAATTATTCTCGTAATTACGGTCGTCACCCATACCAGCAGCTTCACAATGGACCAACTGACAGCGTCCGCGGGGTTGACAATCCATCGCGGGGTAGTAGTATTTTGTGCGAGGAACATCCATTATGTAAGCGGGTGAGACGATCTAACTAGTTATCTATGTACTGTACTGTATTAGTAGTTATGTTTATATAGCATATCATCAGATCCCATTTATTTCTATGCCCATATGCTGATGGACAGAGGTTCCTTTGGCCCCATTGTCATACCCTCGTGTTAAAGTGAACATATCAAAATTATTCCTAATCAGCGTGAGTACACCAGATTGGCATTTCCTTTTAGTATAAGTAGGGGGCTACCCTGACCCCTATGCTGGCGTAACCATCTCTAGGAAGGGTAGTGACTAGAAGCTCCAGGACGCATTGCGTGCACTTCCCTCCGTATTCGTATCGTATAAGCGGGTCTGCACGAGTCTGCACGAGTCTGCACGAATCTGCCTTGCTTGTGGGGAGGAAGGAGATTTATTATCTCAGGCCTACTAGTTGTATGATAACGATCAGTCATAGCCGCCGCGTACCTGAGGTAAGTTCATGGAGGGGTAGATCTGATAGCTATCGGATTCCGATACCATCTCCGTATGAAACAGAAGAGGCGGTCCATTGTGGTCAACTCGTGAACTAATAGATGCGAGATGCGTTTCGGCTTTTTTTTCTTGTCGGACGTAGGATGTATACGTCTGAGGGTTTGTTGTGGTGGTAATCTGTACGATCGGGCAAGTCGCGGGGAAGATTCCTGAACCATCTGGACGTATCGAGAACGCCGCTGAATTGCCCCTCCGAAATATTCTTTTTTCTTGTTCGATTATTCATAAGACAAAAGAGATAGAACTTGATATACTCAACCCCAACTATTCCTACTACAAATTTTCATTTAGTTTGCTTATAATCCTCGTACGAATTATACTCAATTGAATTTCTTTCCCTTTCTTTTCGTTTCCTTTTTTTTTTTTTTTTTAAACACCCCAAAATCCAGCCGAGGAAGAGCCTGCCCAGTATGGACGCAAACATGAACAACCTCCTCAAATGGAGTATCCAAAACTCCACTACTCAACAATCCGACAACCCCAATGCCTCCAACAATGCTGCTGATTCCACTGCCCGCGGTCTCACCCCGGAGATGCTGTCAGCTCTCTTCGGCGGTCCCTCCGACGCCGACCTAATGAAAGCCGCTATGGAAGCACTGCACTCCGATGAAGTTGATCTCGAGAACAAACTGATCGCATTCGACAACTTCGAACAGCTCATCGAGTCTATAGATAACGCAAACAACCTCGAGCCCCTCGGCTTGTGGACACCGCTGGTTGAACTACTTCAGCACGAGGAAGCAGAGATGAGACGCATGGCTGCGTGGTGTATCGGAACCGCTGTGCAGAATAACGAGAAGGCCCAGGATAAGCTTGTCGTCTTCAACGCTGTCCCTAAGCTAGTCACTATGTCGACTACGGATTCGAACCCCGCTACGCGGAAGAAGGCTGTGTTCGCTCTTTCGTCGGCTGTACGCAACTACCAGCCTGCTATGGATGAGTTGGTAAAGCACCTGCCTGAGGGATATCCCCGGGGGCAGAAGGTCGATGCTGGAGACATGGAGGCTGTGGATGCCATCATGGATAGATTGCGGGCGCACGCCGTTCCTTCGTCTGCTTAGGGCTCATTCGTGCATACGGTTGTTTGAATGTCCAATGCCTTGCTCTGGCGCGTTTTTACTACTGACGCGGCGAGGTTACTCGTACGTGCGGTTGTATGGGCTCACTCCAAGACAGACGCTTTATCCACTGCGATTGCTGTCACTCTCATTTAGTGACTTCCTGTCGAGACTGTTGACCTGAAATGACGACGAATAATGCCGGGTTGCCGTGATAGGTTCCCATCGATCTATTTTTGGGAATAATATCCCGTTTCTTCACTTCAAGGCTACGTTTGTACGGGCTTGAATCGTGCTTCATGTGTTCGTAGCCAGACTTGGCTTAGGTTACGCATGGGTGCTGGAAGACTGTGCGCTTCAATGGAACCGCATATTACAAGGGCATATGTAAATAATAAAACTCTTTACGGCTAGCTGAAGTAAATGCGACCGCTTTATGTAGCACTTAAATTGTTATGCGTAAGTCGTTGCCCAAACGGCGTATGCATCTACAGAGTCAAAATATGTTGTTGCCTGAATGCACTACGACACCCGTTTCTGCTTCATTGTCTCCTGGCGAGGGCCCGGGCCTCGTACGTATGCGGTCACCTTGAGTAGAAGACCTAAGGGAATGGCAAATGTGTAATTGGCCATAGAGGCATCCCACGAACAAAATCATAACATAAGACTAGAGTGCATATGAATCGCGACTACGCCAGCCACTCGAAAGAATAAATGGGGAAAGATACGGAGTAGACAAACAGCTAATCATGATAGAATCCCAAATGAGTGCCACTCCATCAGTTATTACAACGCAAGGTTGTAGGTATAATCATCTTCTATGTTCTGTGAAATCCAGAGAACAATCGTGCTGCCGAGCAAAGCAGTCAGTAACCCGTCCCATAAATAGCAGATATGAAGCGCATACCTCAGCATGACGAGTCCATTCGCAACGACATTGGCGATTCCAAAGTATAACGTTTGCAGTGGGTATTGTTTAATGAGGTATTTAAGGACCATGACCGTCTGTTGAAAGTGTTAGCTATCATTATGCCTTCACGACAGAGGACGTATGCATTTTGCGCATATGCAGCATTATCCTGGGGACATCTGCAAAGGGATACTAACCACACTGCCTGCCAAACCGCCAGCCAAGAGTGCAAACCCAAGGAAAAGTACAAACCGCGCTTTCCACGCAACACCGCTTCCACTGTAGCTCCAGCTATCTGCGTGCAGCCGCGACTTCTCGATTGAGTTAATAACAAGCATTCCGAGCGCAGAGCAAATGCCGGGGATCCAGTCGACAAATTTGACATGCACGTTTGATCCATTTCGTGAGCTATGAGAGAATGCAGCTGCATCAACTAAGAAGAAAAAACCGAGAGAAAACTTTGGTAGACTTCGTCAGTGCGATTGCGCCTTGACATAGGACGGGTGGATAAGCTCACCAACGCTCCCGATGTGTAGACGCCTGCGTTGCGGACGGTATTGTTGTTTAACCATTCCGGCTTGGAGAACCGGAAAAGACGGTTGTTGGAGACATCCATAGCGTAGCGGTCTAAGGTTCCGATAAAGTGTAAGCTGTTTTGTAAACCAACAGAGGTAAACTTGATATGCGGATGGATCTCGGATCTTCTGTAGCTATCGGGAAGGTTGGCGATGATGCACTTCGGCGGTCGGAAAATCGCAAAGCCGATACCGTCATAGCCTCTCTTGCTAAAGCCCATGTACTGAGAGAACTTTCTTAAGTGTCTACAGAGTTCAGATACTCATGTCATGGTGGTTTTGTTCGTTGCTTGAAAAAGGAGGCAATATAGTATATAATGACCAACAGCTCTCTTAACTACTCATATTGCTGTTTGTCTAGGTAAATAGGATTATATACATCGTAACGTCATGTCTCGTTCAGCCGTACCAGACAGGCTCAGTTTTCCTCACAGAATAATCTCAAGAACTCATCAATATACGTCATTGCCTTTCCTTTTTCCAGCAAAGGCGGCAAATATTTCGAGCTGCCTTGACTGACAGGCGTTTCTTTCAAATACTTCCGTAGGGCGAAGATGGATGCACGATAAGTCGCATGATACATCGCCTTAAACTCATCTTCATCCGTGCTTGGGGTTGGCGTGGCCAGAGGTGCGGCTGCTGCTGCAATGCGATGATCCTTTTCTTCAGTTTGAGAGGGAAGCGTATCGTGACTACTCGGGTTCTTGCTCGAAGACCCAGACCGCGTCGTCGAGCGGTTGAAGCCATATAGCCGCATGCACGTTAATATCGTACGAGAGATTGTGTTCTTGTTTTCGAGAATGACGTCTTCGGCATCCTTGGGCGCAGATGAAAGCTCAAGCCTTCCATCAGATGATGGCAATGCCGGTGAGGGTTCTCTCTCTTTTCGCAAAGAGGATTCGATGAAGGGATTGGGCGTATTCCTCTTGATTAACTCACGCGGATGCCCCCGATTACTGCCGGGCCTAGGAGGCTCCGTACGAAACTCTGAAGGTTTGCTAGGGTGTAGGTTCGCCCCAACGGAGAGAGATCTTGAGCGTTGTGATGCAATCCGGTCTAATAAGGGAAGACTGGGTTCCTCAGACTCCCGCTTGATGCGGAGATTCTGTGACTGGTATGATGACTGAAATTGCGAGTGTGCCATCAACTGAGATACACCCTCCCCTCCTTTCTGACGCACCCTCTTATGATGTTGTGTAACCGATTCAAACAATGTCGCCACCCGCTTACGCTTAGGGCTCGGGGAACGAATGTCTGGAAGGAATTCTCCAAGTGTTTCATGTCCAAGAAGTTCACTCGTAATTTGCGATGTTGGGAGTGCACGCGCTCTGGTGATAAGGGATGAGGAGATGGGAATGGCATATATTCTCAGTTCTTGTCTGATAGCTCGCAGAGCAGTTTCATCAGAGCTTGCCGAAGAGGACACGGGAGGAGTCGGAGGACGTTTGAGTGACGTTGCGCTTGACAGGACGCCGTACACTATTAGGTCTGTGGTGGTTGATCCTGTCTTTGTTCGTATCGTGCAATCGACACTCACAAGAAGGCTGACAGGGCACTGAACTGTCTGAAGCGTATCCATGTCCTCTTCTTCGAGCCAAACTCCCCCAAGTAATTTGGCTTTTAGCCATTGCGATGTTTCCGTATTATTTGTGTGCAATTCGAGGCTTGGGCCAACGCGGGCATATAATGGTATTAAAGCTGGGTTCACAAAGCAACGAAGACTCAGCATTGAGTCCCTTGGTATATCAGAGTGCCAATTCGAGGATCTGTCAATTAGTTGCAGGCCTGTATAGATCTTAGTAGCTGGTAGACCGAGATTGATCGGCCGCCTCACCTCGAAGTTGAGATTGTCCATCTAGTACGATACTACCAGACCAGATGTTCATTTTAGATATACACTCCTAGTTTAAAATTTCACATCTTATAAATATACCGAATCTTTAAGAAAAGGGCAGCTCGGTCAGCTTAAGTAGCAAGCGTTTCTTCGACTGCTTTATTGTAAATTACACGACGCGCCTTGGAAAAGCGGCACGTAATCACGTGATATATCGCTTGCCAGGCATGTTAGCATTTACATGTGCAGAGTAGTAGCTTACGGCACCCATTAGGATGCTCTCCGTCAGGGACCTCAAACCTCCCCGTCTCCCTTGAACCCTCTAGATAACCTCATAGCAGCTATAGTCCATCAATCATATCATTCAATCAGAATAAAAGTAAACTAGAGGCTGGAATTCGCGGCAAATTTCACATAAAGGACTCTCACCATACGACAAAACAAAAAGGTGTTTCATAAAGAAACCCATGGCCCGGTGAATAGGAGATAGCCTTCGTAGGTCTAGTATATTGGCAAATCAGATGCGACCAAGCGCATCTGAGTGACTTCACCCTAACTAGCTGAAACCCATGGTGACTCAAAACTCCTCCTGCTCCTTGAAAAACATGGAGAAACTAATAATTGTTCCATAAATCAAAAGGCCGCCAAGAATCGACATGATCATCGCCGGGAGTTGGATTGCGCCGCTATGCGCAAGTACAGCTGGGAGCGCTATAGAATATCGGAATTAGCAACAAGACCACCACCCCAAAAAAAGCTAGTTTATGAACGCTAGAGTTCGACACGCGATCATGGCTAAACATGTTTCACTTGAACTCGGGACAACTTACCAATGCCCATTAAGACCAGGAAACCCGTTAAGAAACGACCAAAATCAGCTGCAGCATTTCCCGAGCTGTCCATAAAATCATCTGGGTTCGCACATCGTGAGCAGATCCAGTTGGGTAGGGGAGCAACAACGTAGGTCGCAACAACAATCAACGGTAAGAAGTTGTGCCAAAGTGCCGAGGAAAGAATGACGAGTAGGAAGCCAATGGCAAGGACCTGAGTGATGAAAGAAAGATGTTAGTAATATCCTTTTCTTTGTTTCAAATACACAGTATACAATCACGTCGATGGACCACATACGAACGACAGTGCGATAATTGTCTTGAGGCCGGCCGTCATGATGCGGAGCAACAGGACCGTCTAGGTCCAGACACTGAAAGCAGATATAATGGTATTTCGTAGCGCAAACGGAGCTCGAGCTGGTATAACCTCAGGCGAGTTAGTGGAGCTTGATTTGAAGGCAACGCTCCTTCAGCATGGAGACGTTTGATCGAGTAGTAGTCGGAATGGCCGATGCCGATGTAGTCGCTGAGGTGACGTTGGATGAACCGCAAGGCGGCAGCTACAATTCATTGGTGCCTCAGGCGGCAAGGCGGCAAGTCCTCCATCAAGCAAGCGGAAGCTTTGGTAATTGCGTTGGTCACCGCGTCAGTCTGACTGCCTACTACAGTATCTCCTCCCCAGCTCTTGTCCCATCAACTATACCTCCCCGTCCCCCCCTCTCTCTGCCAGTATTTACATATCACAATTTATCCTCGCTCCCGATTATTCCTTTCTCTAAACTTTCATAATGTTCAGGAACAACTACGATAACGATGCGGTTACCTTGTATAGCTCCCCGTCCCATCTGGAGAAGCTCCATCACTGATCTCTTTACTTCGGACAGCTCCCCGCAGGGTCGGATATTTCAGGTAGAATATGCGCAAGAAGCAGTCAAACAGGGATCTGTCGTGGTGGGGCTGGTTAACAAGACACATGCAGTTCTGGTCGGCCTAAAGGTTCGAAATACCATCAACAGTTGGATTGTCGAGAAACAAACCGTGGGCGGCTTGCTAACATGAGCAAAATTTGTCTGGATGACTATAGCGAAATGCCGAAGAGCTCTCCTCGTACCAGAAGAAGATTATCGAAATCGACTCGCACATGGGCATCGCTATCGCCGGTCTTGCATCTGACGCTCGTGTGCTCTCCAACTACATGAAGCAACAGTCACTCGGCTCCAGAATGACTTACGGCCGTCCAATCCCCGTGGACCGCATCGTTACTCAGATCGCTGACCGCGCCCAAACGAACACTCAGCACTACGGTAAACGGCCGTACGGTGTCGGTCTGCTCGTCGCTGGCGTCGACGAAGCTGGTCCCCATCTATTCGAGTTCCAGCCATCCGGTATGATTCATGAAATGCTGGCCTGCGCCATCGGAGCTCGTTCGCAGATGGCGCGGACTTATTTGGAGCGGAACCTGGACAAGATTACAAACAGTACTCGTGATGAGCTCATTACCCATGGCCTCCGGGCACTCAAGGAGACTTTGTCTCAGGATAAAGAACTGACTGTTGATAACACTTCTGTCGGTGTAGTGGGTCTTGCTGGAGAGGAAGGAAAGGGGAAGATTGAGAGCTTCAAGCTTTATGAAGGTCAACAACTCGTGCCGCTGTTAGAGGCTGTGGAGTCGGGAGAGACGAAAGAAGAGGAGACGATGGAGGTCGATTCGTAGGTTTCGAGGTTACGCCCATAGATATGAAAATATTCGTCATTGCAATGCTGGAGATTTGCAGCAGCTCCTTTTTTTCTCGGATTGTTATACGCAGGCATTAGGACGAAATCGGGATAATACGACGTTTACTCTCCAGACGCAGTGCATTGTTTAATGTCATGAAATCGTAATTGGAGCTCTAGTCCTTCCCCTGTACTCTTCCTTCTATCACCCAGTTCTAACTGGGGGTAGCCTCTAAAACTATGACCGACGCTGATAACCCTTCATGCCGAGTATAAGCTGAACTCTCGCGTCAGTAGGCTAGTCAGCCAGCCTACTCCTCTCCCCAATTCAATTGCATCCTCCCATTGCTAATCTTGTAACTAACCAGCTTGGGCCAAACCTCACTGACATCCTTGGCCTCAACCAAGATCTCACCGTTCTCAGGACTGACAAAGCCTTCGTGGACTGAGTTCTTCACCCACGCTAGCACACCATCCCAATACCCATTGGCATTGAGCAACACCACGCCAAGCTTATGGATTCCCAGCTGATTCCAGGTAGTCATTTCCATGACCTCCTCGATAGTTCCGAACCCGCCCGCCAGCGCCACAAAGCCCGATCCCGGACCACCCTCTCGGACCTTCTCAGCCATCATGCGCTTGCGCGTGTGCATATCTGGGACGATGGTGGTATACCCGTACTCTGACTCCTTCAGCGTCCCGATCTTACCCATAGGCTCCTTGACGACCCGCTCTGCTTCTTTCCCGCTTACAACGGCGGAAGGGCTCCTCTCCTCTTGCGCATTGTCATAGCCGGGCTCGACTTTGACCAGGGCTCGGGGGATAATACCGTGCACTGCTTGGGGCCCGGAAAGAGAAACGAGGGTGCGGGCCAATTCACCCATGAGGCCCGCTGTGCCGCCGCCGTAGACAAGTTGGATATTGTTCTTGTGAAACTCGTGTGCAAGGGCTCGGGCTGTCTCCAGGTGAACGGAGTTGTTACCGGAGACTGAGCCACAGCTACATAGTTCCATTGATAATCAGTACGGATTATATGATTGTCATTTGTTGCGATTTTCCGCGGATCATGGTGGGGGAGGGGTTGATTCACTCACAATACACAGACAACCGCAGGTTTATCTTGCGGAACACTCGCCATGGTTACTAGCGTATATATATATATATAAATGTGTAGAGGATATTAATTGTATATGAATAACTTATAGAATGTTATTAATCCGGTATGACACAGGGGAGTCAACTGATTAACGGAACAAGGGAAGAGAGAAAAGAGAAGTAAGCAAATATTCTTGAGCAGAGCCCCCGCTAGGACTAATTATATGAGCATCTATATATATAAAGGTACAGAGGTTTCAACAAGAGATTATCATGTTGGATAAGGATGAGGTATGTAAGGGGTCTGGGAACATGGAGTTCAATGAATCACCACCCGTGAATTTCGTCATTCTGTTACATCTCTATTGAGAGTGCTGCTGGTCTCGCTCTCTTTCACTACCATCGACTCAGGCCGGCAGCTTTCAAAAATGTGGACATACCTGCCGGATGTGAAAAGAATACTGCGCCCCCTAGTATCGCGGGATACATTCCTAGCTACGAGTTGATTCTCTGCTTACAATCCTTACATCAGTTATGTACTATGGGCGGGCCAATGGAATATACATTACCATGTTCCTAAGACAGTAAAAAAATAGGGGGGTATTATAAATCTTTGGGTCTATCCACTCAACTCCCAATTTTGGCCTTCTTCTTTCGTAACTTATTGTCATCGGAGGCCGACGGGGTGGCTCCTTTCTCGGGAGTTTTACCAGGCGTGTCGACCTTGACTTGAGGTGTTCCAACCCTACCTGGGATGCTGCCTGGACGGCTAATATGCGGTGGTTGTTTGGAAGCAGCCCCTCGATCTGTATCACCAGACTTGGATAGGATAAATGATCCCGGCTCTCCGACCAGTGGATTTTCATCCATGAATTCCTCACCATATCGTGCGAGAAGACTGAACGACTCCGCGAAAGTCCTCGTGTCCTGGAAAATTGCCCCAGCGTTGGCGGTTTGTGGCCCAACCAAGAGAGCTTTCGTGGAGTCCGCGTCGGGCATCGGAGTGTTCTCCTTGCTTTGCTGAGATTGAGCTCCGGGCTGACTGCTATCCGTCGGTTTGGGTGCGGGCGGCATGTACGTGTGTCCATGTGACGGTGTAAAGCTAGGTAGTGACGATGCAGTCTTTAAGAGACTTGTGAGTGAGGTAACTGTAGAAAGCTATTGTGACGTGGAATGTCAGTCACTAGATCACATACAGAGGACCTTACTTTACATACTAGTCTATTTCCCACGACACTTGCAACAGATGGGGCCATATAGATGCAATCTCCCACTACAAAGTAAGTGGATAGGACTGCCACTTCATCATCCAGCCCAGCTCGCTTCCGTCTTGTCTGTTTCCGGATCACCCAGATGTTAGATGGTTCATGTGCAAAGCTGGTCTCTGTTTGTGCAGCAGCCTGCAAAGGATCATAAGCGACCACGAACTCTAATCCCTGCATGGTCTTCAAGCGGCCTTCGAAGGCCTCTCGGGTTTCAACGAAATGGCGAAGTGTTTCGTTGTAGTTGGCTTGGATGGCAAGTGAGGCATTGTTAGATGTAGCGTCGAAGAATGGAGATTCGGCGAAGTAAAACAAGACTGTCCCTTAATTAACAAGTGTTTTCAAGTAAAAGGAAGTGAGATAAAAAGCTCAAAAAGGAAGATCTCCTCACTATTGTTAGAATGGAGGAAGCCTCCCATCATTTGGACGTGCGCGGGCGACCGCCAGAGGATCTCCTCCATTGAGCCATCTTGGGCACTCGCCATGAAGTAGCTTAGATGATCTCTATTGTTGACAGACTGTTGAAGAAATACCAGCCTATACAACAGCAGCCAGAATACGAATGGTAAAGTCTACACCTCAAGACCAGACTGTGTATATCTAAGTGCAATGGAGACTATGATGTATTCATTGTCCTTCGCGGAAATAAAAGCGATGTTTGACTTGTTTGCATTGTTTATCTAATAGGAGTTCTATCCGCGCGAGTTTCGTAAGCTCATGTCTAGACTCTTAACCAACCTTGCCATAAAACAAGTAAGCATGAGTCAGGGTATCCTTTTGGACTGATGAAATCTATCAAGGATACTATATAGTGAAAACCTTGTGAATAGCTAAACGCCTCTAAACCCCAACGCTCAATGTTGAATCTGACCCCATATGATCTAAACCCGCAACTGTTGAATATTGTTGTTGAACATGTACCTAAAAAGGTAGACTTCGGCAAGAAGAACCAAGAAAGAACGAATAAATTAAAGAAGAAGGAGAAGGGAGAAGAGATAGAATGTGGTCATGCTATTACACCTTGCCTGAGGCCTGTAGATCCGACGGCGCGAAGACACCACAAACAGTGGTAAGCTTGGTCAGCATTTCGTTCCATTCACCGTCAGCAGTGCTTAGAATGGTCACAGCTCCCCCAGCTCCAATCCTCCATGTCTGTTCATTGTTCTTGTCATCAGAACAGCTGAACGCCGTGCGGATAAGGACTGAGAAACTACCTCCGCCCCCAAGGTCTAGGAAGCCCATAACACCGGAATAGATCCCACGTTTCCGAGCTTCGATCAAGCTAAGATGCATGCATGAACGCTCCTTAGGCGCGCCAGTCATCGATCCCGGAGGGAGACATCTTTGTAAGGCTGTAAGCCCGTACGCAGACATGTTTGACGAATGTGGATGGGGCAAGTTTTGAACTGCAAAACCCGGACGACTTGGATCGACATCTCCTTTCACATGAGTAATCATCTGATAGACACGCCCGTGATCCTCTACCTCAAGAAGCTTCTCAACACGCACACCTCCAGAACCGCAGATGCCGTAAAGGTCATGGCGAATCAAATCCGCGATCATCAAGTTCTCCGCCATTTCCTTTGTTGAACCTAGTATCTCCTTGGCCTTCTTCATAGTCATGCTGGCCGATTTTCGGACAGTGCCCTTCATTGGCTTCATTTCTAACGTGAAAGAGCGGTCCCAATTGAGGAAACATTCAGGGCTGCTACTGACAACCTTGACGCTGCCCAATCTTGCATACGCACTGAAGGCTGCAGGGTTGTATTCCCTAAGGCGTTTATATAGCTTCCAAGGGAAAGCAACACGCTCGCTGTCAGTGCCAGGTGATGGTAAGGTAATTGATGTTTCACAAGTAAGACATAACTCGTATGATTCGCCAGCTTCAAGCTCGGCTTTACAAGCTTCGACTTGCTTCTTGTATGTTTGCTCGTTGGGGAAACGTATCACGCATTGTCTTAGAATGGTGTCCAAAGAGCCCGTATCAGGGTTCGCGTTCTGATTCTCAAGCACGCCTACACGGGAAAGCTCAGTCAAGTATTGCAACGTTTCGTCAAGCCAACCAGTCGATATATCATCGGCGTTGCGCGTTGACTGTATGGTAATGCGTCCTGTTTCGTTATCGACGATGACGCTTCTTTCGGTCCACAGCAAACTCACATCTGCTGGTTCAGTAGTAGCAGCGCCGTTTTGAGGGGGGAAATATCCATAATGGTCATTGTCATGAGTCTTCGGTCGAGCAAGACATGCGAGTCCCATCTCATATGAGAAATAGCCCAAAAAACCTCCCCAAAAGGGCACGGCATCATCTCCAGACTCGACCCTTTTCATGTCCATGAGATATCTGAGCGTCTCCCATAAGTCATGCACCGACAAAGACCTCTTAAGGCCGCAATCTGTATGCCCATTGGAATGTCCTTGCAATCTCTCCACTAAGAGAGCCTCGGTCTGGGCATAGTATTCTAGTCTCCAGCTCGTAGGGCCCGGAACTGATATGATACTATACTTGCCGTTGGACTGAAATAACACTGTTGGTGAATCAGGCGCATTTAGGCGTTCACATATAAACTCAGCATTTAGCCTGCTGGTAGTGAGTGAACGGAAAGCTGAGGATCTCGAGGTTGACGCGCACCAATTCAACATGGTAAACGCTATCTCCGGAAGTGAGGTCGCATCGCTTGGGCGTCTTATAATGTCTTCTGGCAGAGCACCGGAACTGCCGCGCCCGTGCTCCTTGTTGTAGTCTAAGGACATCTCCCACCACTTTCTTAGTAGTTCACTGCACACTCCACGGTCCGACTTGCACGATTCTGGGTGGAATTGAACACCCCAGAACGGCTTTTCATTGTGGCGCACAGCCATTGGAATAATAGTTTTTTCAGAACCGTTATCTTGTCCGATGGGCAGCCAAGCCAGAAGATCTAAGTCTGCATTGGCCTTGATCTGCTCGCCACTGTACTTGGTCAAGGTTGCCTCAAGCGAATCGTCCAACTTTGCATACAGAGAATGATAAAGAGTGACCTCCACATCTTGTAGGTTCTTGAATATGTCCTTTTCAGCCGTTGATATGCGATATACCCGGCCATGAAGTGGGTATGGCAAACGCTCTATAGCAATGCTGTGATGGAGACACAGACTTTGAAAACCAAGGCATATTCCGAAAACAGGGAGCAAATCAGCGTGACTCAGAGCCCAGATATCTCTCATGATCCCAATATCTTGTGGAATATTTGGATCTCCAGGCCCTGGCCCAAGAACGACAGCTTCGAAATATTGCAGAAATTCGGCCTTGTTCCCTTCTGGCCACTCGGAGTCAATCATTATCACAGTGACCTTGACACCCAGAACCTCTTCAAGCATGGCGACCACATTGTAAGAAAAGGAGTCATATGCATCAACATAAAGAATGTTCTTTCGGGGAGACGTATGGAAGTGAGCTTTAGAGGGCTCACCGGCAGATGGTGCGGCCCAACTCCCTAGTAACGGTGCCATGCCGTATGGATGAACTATAGCTTCTATAACCCCACAAAGAAAGCAGGGAGCAAAGACAAAGACAACGAGAATACAAGATATGTGTAAAACAAAGTGGAGAGCGACCCGCAACAAGCACAGTGTATGAGATGAAGCTCGAGCACTAAATGTCAACGGAGGTTCATAGTGGAATGAATATAGAAACCCAAAGTGGCGATACTCCAAAAGTCCTCTATTCAGTGCACCACACACATGACTCACAAACGAAGGAGATGTTGTAGATTGTCAGTAGATTTTCAACAAGCAGATCAGATAGAGATCCGAAAGATTTGGAAACAGAGAAAAAGAAAGAGAATGAGAACGAAGTGGTTGAGTCACAAAGTTTTTGAGAGACTTGGGGTTGCCAGACCTGGTCACTTTTACCTAAAAATTAAGATAAAATCCAGGGACGGAGCGGCAAACACCGGAAAACCTAAATCGGGCGCCCGTATGGAGAACGAGGAATAAATGGGTCTTCCGCCGCAATCACCTTTTTTGTGCACCTGATCTGCCACCACCGCGCAAGCCAAGCCCTAATTTACCCACCCCTTCATACACAAGAGCGAGCTTCCTCTGCTCATATGCCCTGCCAGATCCTGCCGGCTTAAGAGACCCCCGGGTAAGTAATTTCTATGAAAATTGTATTTTCCGCTATTCATCTATACATCATCGGTTGATGACCAATGCTTGAGCTTGTCGGGTAAGTATACCTGTCGTGAGGATCAAAGACAAAACATGCCTTGTATTAGGCAGAACACCATCATGCATCGTCAGAAATCTTTTTTTGGCTCCAGCTGGTTGATCAGCTTCGAAGAAGCTATGAATTCAGCGTTGGCGTTTGCATATTGACGGTGGCAAGCTTGGTCGCAATTTTGGGGAAGTACTGAGCCACGAAGCCTTCACTGGAGAGGGTATCAGCAGGGGTAAATTCTATAACCGTATAGGGTGCTCTTCGTACCTGTAAAAGCTATGGGCGGAGCTATGATCTCCCACTAGATTATGTGCCAGTTCATGACAGAGTATCACCCACCAATATACCAGCGCTTCGCTCCGGTCGGCAGCCGGACTCTGAAGCAGCTTCTTCTCATGTAATTGTTGGAAGTAGAAGTAATTACAAAAGATGCTACCGGCTCGATTGAACGCTATGGTCTTTCCGCCTGGGTCATAAAAGACACTAAGGATATCGGCACGTAGGGAGAAGACACTAGCGCAATCAATGAGCATCGAAGCAAAGAGGTTAATTCCGGCGCTGTTCTTGGCCAGAAAGTTGGACCGATCTGCAAGTGTCTTCACGAAGAGTGCATGGATACCGCAGGGAAGTGTTGCCACAAATTCCAGATCGTGACTGGGTCTCTCATCACAATAGGATTTAGACTCAGTGACTTGGTTCGTTTCTGGGCGGCTGTATAAGCCTGATGATCCGTGAGGCCGACAAGCCTGGATGGCGGAAAGAAGCTCTGATTGAAGTCTATGCGGGGAGCTTACGGTCACAGGCTGTTCTGGGCGAGGTCCTTGTGGGTCTTCGGCCGAATATGGGGGAGGGGGTGTGGCGTTATTCGAAGACTCTGCGGATGGCTGGGATGAATCCCCACCAAGAGGGTTCCATGTTGGTCGACCACTGTCCAGCCCAAAGCGTTTTGTTAAATTGGCGAAAAGCCCCCGTGGGCGCCGGTCTTGGCTTTGTTCTAATGTTTCTTCCTGTGAACTAGGGCCGATGTCTTTGCTGGATGGCGAGGGCGAGTCAGGGAAATCCCCAGGCATCAAAGGCTGTCGTTTGGCTTCTGCTTGTTGCGCTTGTGTTTGCAACTGGGCTTGGGCCCGTTCCTTCGCCCATTCGGCTTCCCTCTCCTGGAGCCGTTGTCGCTCCTCCTCCAACTGCTTCTGACGCCTATCCTCTGCCATTCTTGCCTCGTGGGCCTTCTGCTTAAGAATGCGCTCAACATTGTAACCACGGGCTTTAAGCTCTAACAAGTCA